CTAAACCCCTAAACCCTAAAACAACCAGCAGAATTGCCAGACCACGTGGCATTAGGTTCGATGCGGTTGCAGTGGACGCTCTGGACCGTGGCGAAGCTTTTACCATGCCGCCGCTCGGCCCCAAAGCGAAGGGCTTTCAGACTTGAGCTCCGGAACGCTAGAGGATAAATCCAAGGGTTCCGGTGATCAGGTTGTACACCCTAAACCCTAAACCCTGCAGTATTCAGCCGCAGTAGTCGCACTCCACGCTTCCTCAGCATTTCTCTGAACCGGGATGCTTTGATTTGTTGACTTCCGGGCTTCCAGGCAGGGCTTCCCACCCTAAACCCTAAACCCAGCCGTTTGGGAGATGTTGCGTTAAGCTGTACCTTCACTCACGCCGCAAAGGGCGCGTGCGAAGCAGCAGAGCAGATCGATAGGCCTATGGTGTGCTTCAGAATGATATATATATATANNAGATATAGATAGAGAGATAGATAGATAGATAGTCATTCTTCGTCGCGAGGCTGAGAGTCCGAGTCGGACGCGCCTATTGCACAGATGAATTCTAGGGCAAGTGCAGATCTAGGGTTTAGGGTTTAGGGTTTAGGGTTTAGGGTTTGCGCTCACGAACCGCTCAGGGGTGCGCGGTGTAATCTGGGCGATCGCACGTAACGGAGGAAGAACCACAGAGAGCGAACTGGCAGCGCCAAGCGCAAAAGCCATCCCTGTGGAGCACATCCCCGTTCAAAACCAAACAGACAGTGTCTCACAGAACAGCCGTTTCTCCAGCACTCAACTCAACAAGCGAAGCATGGAGCATCTGAGCTTTTCAAGCTCAAAACAAAAGGGTCTTAATCAGACCCCTACGCGGAAGGTACCCGCAACTAAAGACTACTTGCTCAAGCATATTCCTCACGCAGTTAAATGAGGCGAACTACGAGCAAGACTCCACGCAGCAGGGATTCAAAAGTCACTGCATCGCTACACTACCCTGAGCCTGTTCCTCTCGGGAGTGGGAGAGGCAAACTGCGGGATTAATCCCACACGGTCACAACACAGGTCCTCACGGATATGGTGAGGCCATCCCTGCACAAGGCACGTACCCTAGATGTCAAAACATTTTGGAAGAGGCGATATAAGGACATCAAGCAAACCAGCGCGTGGCAATTACTGACAGGCCCACAGCGCAATAACCCAGTCAGCTTTGCGCTTATTCCTCCAGGGGCGAGGGGAGGCAAACAGCAAAGCAGCACCCCACACGATTATCACAAAAGAACCGTACCCACTCAAGACATGCGTGTATGCACAGTGACGGCGTTTATGCAAGCACGCATGCCGAGCTTAAACACAAGCAGGGGCTGATGAAATGAAACTCAGCCATCACTGTACACGTCGGCTGTATCACTTGACTATCTTTCTTTGTGCCTCACTGCTCACTGGCCTTTCGGGCCGCGTAGTAAGACTTTGATGACCTGTCACGGTGTTGGGTAGTTGGCTGCCCTCCAGGCAAACCATATATATATATATATATATATATATATGTATATATATATATATAGTTTGGGCTTTCCAAAGGACTGGGGTGGTAGCACCGCGATCTTTAGCTCCGGGAGTTGTGCACATCTGCGAGATTGAGGCTCAACTGTGAAGGAAGCGAGGCGCCACACATGGAGTTGGATGCCTTCAGCGGAGTCATGCTACTACGTCGCTTGGCGGCATGGGCCGCGTGACTTGTGCACTTGACTACTCCGGTGTGAAGCCTGCCGCTGGGTTTTTTGAGATGAACACTCAAGGGCCGTCCAGCGACAAGCTCAGCAATACTTGTCAACTTGTAACAACAGGCGTGGTACCATTGCCACTGTTGTCATTGCTACTGGCATGGCGTTAACTGCTTTATGAATTTAGCCGTAGCCGCGGCAGTAGCAGCCGCAGTCGCGACTGGAGCTGCGTCGGAGTCGGAGCAGGAGCTGTGGCAGTGGCGGTAGCGGTCGCGGTAGCGGTAGCAGGAGTAGTGGGTAGTGGCAGTGGCAGCCGAAATTGTAGGAGGAGGCGTAGGAGAAGCGGCAGTAGAAGTGGGAGTAGGAGTTGGAGGAGGAGTAGGAGCAACAGCAGGAGTAGAAACCAACCGGAGCAGCAGCCGTAGTGGTGGCAGTGGCAGTAGCAGGCGTCGTCGGACATGACCATGCCACCCCGTGCCAGGTGAAGGTGCTCTTCCTTTCCACGTCTCGCCCAGCGTGCCCGCAGAGTGGGAATCCGAGATCGTCGACCCTCAGGTAAGAGTTTCGGGGCTGAGTTCCGTCTTCAAGGGGCCCTTATATGGTGTTCCATTACTGTTTGGTATCATTTCAAGGGTCGCTTATACTCATCTAGCGGTTTTTGGCTCTTGCTCAGATGCCCTGACTTTCTCAATTGCTTGAGAGGGTCCTTTGCTTTCGCAAGCTCCTATCTGAAGGTTTGCTATGCTCGTTCGCACCGGCCTCGGGGTTTCTGCTGGTCGGGTTTTAGGGTCAGGGAGGGACCGCCAGCCTTGAGCTGAAGTCTTCAAAGCTGTATCGCACAGCTTCATGGCGCAGGCTCCGGAGTGCAACGTCACGGCGTTCTTGGCGGCAGCTTCCACTGCGAATGAGCAAGGTGCCTATGTCTTGCCTCGCCAATTCAACACCCTCTGTCACCACGATTCATGCAAGAGCTCCGTGTCCTTCTGCACTCGTGCGAGGCACATGAAAGATGCAGGTAGTGACCGACGTCGCTCAATCCTTACTCAACCCCTGCAGACTGCCCCCCCTGTGGAGCCAAGCAAGGTCCGAGGCCATGCGTTTGGTGCCTACATACTCCTTGAATCTGTCCCAGCGTGCGCATCGACACCCAGAAGTCTGAAACCCTGACCGCCTGTCAATTCACCGGCCTGGAGTGTCCGATAGTGAAGGCTGCAACCCCTTATTCGTCGCAAACCTAAATCCGCAAGACTTAAAAACTGAAGACTATCTAAATCCGAAAGCTTACGCTGTGCACATGCGATTAAAGCTCCCCCTCCAACCAAAACTGACACAAGCCCTAAACACGAAACCCAAACCCTCACAAAGAAAGAACGGCTTGCCTTTCGTGCCAGGCTGTGAGCCCCACGAAGCCTCCCTGGCGGGTAAGATCGTCATCGTCGCCCGTGGCGGCTGCACTTTCCAGCAGAAGACAGAGATGATCCAGGCTCGATTTTCTTGGGGTCTTTTTTCGGGTACGAATACAAGCCAGAACACCACCAACAATGATACTACTGAGAGTGATAGTAATGCTAGCGCTAATGCGAATGCTAAGGTTAGCCGGAATACCTGCCATGTAAACCCGATAGTTAGACTACGACGCCGACTGCTAAATATTACAGTATCAGTACGAATAATAGGAACACGAATGAAGAGTAATAATGAGACTAGCAAATAACACTAGCAATAATCATAATCATAACGGCAATAACGACAACCGACATAATGATTCGAATAGTGTCTTGTGCTATATTATAGCATTGATATGACTCGGAGCCCTCAGAAATGGTACTAGTAGTCAAACTCAAACCCCTACATTGCGGAGGGCTTCTTGAACCCAGGGGTCTTGCGGTCATTTCTTCAGCGTGCCTATAGAAAACACAGATGCATAGCGATTGGGCTTCGGTTTTGGGGCTCGGAGTTCCAGGCCAGCTGAGTATAAGCGGTGGCTGAGACAGGGCATGCGAGAGCTGGCGAGTACGGTCCGTTCTGCAGCTTTGTTTGCAAGAGTTTCAGGCCTGAGCCCGGTTTGCTCTGCTTGCAGACATCAGAATGAGTGGAGAGGATCTGCCACCACCAGATCGAATCAAAGTTGGATCTCGGAAACCCGAAAGCCCCAAACCCAAAATCCTGGGCCAAGCCTGATGCAGGAAGCGGGGGGTGTCGGAGCTCTCTTCTACGACACAGAGCCTCGGAGCAGACAGCTTCCGGCGATTTCCGAGAGTTGCGTTTGAGCGGAATCTTGTTGTTCCCAAGCCCCCAAACCATATATATATATATATACATATACCTACCCTCAGAAACCAGTACTCGTACCCTACAATGCGGGCTTGTCCTAGCTAGGTGGGAGGCACGAAGAACCTCACCCGGCATGTCCACATTTCACAGCGCCCGCAGCCCACAAAGAAGCGGAAGGATTCCACCACCACGCTCCGGATGATGGCCACTGCGGATGCCGGAGCCCCTCCTGCACTTCCAGCCTTCATGGTCTCGCGCACGCAAGGCCACTGAGGGGAGAGGAAGTGCTGTTTGGAAGAGCGAGTGTCAGAAGATAAAAGGTATGTCTGGTATGAGGGTGAAGAACATGGCCATGATTTTCGTAATGCTACTGGCCGTGATGATGGCAACGGCAATGAGGAGTCTGCTATGAAGACCTCAGTATCAACAGCCACCACTTTCCTATATTGAGCAGTTGTTGCTTCTTGCCGTCGTTAGGTCTGTTGAATCTGCTGAACTCTCTCAGGATGATTCCGGTGCCGATACTTCTGAAAGGTGTCCCATATGGGGCTTCCGGCCTTCAGCCCTAAATCCGAGCCAACTTCAACCCCAAATTGTTGTCGTGCAGAGGCCTGTCCTTGCGAGATCGAGCCCGGCCTGCGTCTCATGCTTTTTTGCGGTGGTAGGGTTCAGGGGTGTACCGGGTTAGCCGGGTAATCACCGTGTTTGTGATTGATTTAAGCAGCCAGCACAAGAATGCGAGGTTTGACTGGTGTGCGATCTCCGAAATAGCGTGGGCGACACTAATGCTTCCTTCACCGCTATATCCATTCCACGGTGACCCCTACATACCCCTGCCACAACCAGGAGTGAGCAGCAGCTTCGCTAAACCATCATCACAGCAATCAGGATAGGATGGTCATGTTGGCGACAGACGGCAAGCATCACAGAACAAGCGGTTTATAACAACAGAGGAAGAGTTCTGAACAGCCGTCCAGCTCTCAAGCAGAGCAAGGCACTGTCAAGTAAATGCGGATGTGAGGGGTTGCGCAGCAGCTGCGGCAGGAGCATCTAGCAGCAGCCGTACTTCTGGCAGACGTCTTAGTAGCAGGTAGCAGCGTTGAGTAGATGGCAGTTGGAAGTTTGACCCCCAGTCGTCGTAACAGTCTTTGTGGCATGACATCTATTGGCCTGCTTCCGGGTTCTATGGTCGCCAGTACTGCGGAATACCTGACATTCTGGCAGCTGTGGCACTGCCCTTGTCACGGACAGTGCCCTTAAGCTCTTAAAACCATAATGTCCGAGTTGTGAGAGTGCAAAACCCTAAGCAAAAAAAAAAGAAAACGTGAAGTTCTTCCGGGTAATGCAGGGCTTTGTCCAGCAGCCGTAGTGCAGGTTGAGGCCTTGTGGGTGATTGCCCAGGTCGGGGGAGGATCTTCCGGTGGCGCTCATCCGGCACTCTGCCACAACTGATGAGGGACCCCGATAGACGCCCTACTACTCCTAAACCCTAAACCCTAAACCCCCTAAACCCCTAAACCCTAAACCTTACTGTGTTATCATGACTACAATTATAGCTCGTGCCTCGGAATCAGGTAACAAGGTTCAAAGTTTGCCGGCTTCAGAGTCTGAGTAACATCCTGCGAGAACTTTCGGCCTGCGAACTGCTGCGAAGTCGCGGGCATCCCAAATTCGACGGGTTCGGGGACTCCGTTGCGAGCGTGCTTCGAGGAGCGTAGAGCCAGTTGCGGGGTTGAGAGCGAGGGTGACACAGCATCCTGAAAGTTAGGGTTTAGGCTTTAGGGGCTGGGAAACTGAAAAACCTAATCGACTTGCCGAACGCTTTCAACTTATGGAAGGCATGCGTACCAAAGCTTGTCAATAGTTTTTGTGAAGCAAACCCTTGGCAGCTCGACTATGGGAGTTTCAGCAAGTAAGTGATGCTGATAGCGCTGAACCAAGGGTGACCTGTTCCTCTTTGTTACTGGGGCGCTAAACGAGGGATGCGAAAGGAGGGATGATGATGATGATGATGATGATGATGATGATGCGACTGCTACCCTGATCATGATCAATGTCTTCATGACTCCCAGCATTGTCGCTTTTGCTTTTACCTTCCTTGACTTCAGTCCTGGCGTCTGAACCCTAGCATCCTACATCCCAAAGCCTGGACTCAACCATCCAGATTGCAATCGTCAAACGTGCAGTACCCTTTGTAGTACCCTTATATGCCGTTTTTTGGTGGTTGTGAACCGTATAAGCGGAAGGCAGCGTTGAGGAAAAGCTGAACCCGAAAGCCCCACAGCACCCTGACTTCAGGCGTCCCGTGGTTCTGCACACGCATCTGCCCCACATCGGCTCGCCACGGGCCTCTGGAAGCCTAGGCTTCCTCTAGGACCCTATAGGACTTAGGAAGATTCTCGGATTTTGGGATTTTTTGGTGCTGTAGGGCTTATCATGAAGGGATCTTGGTCATGTCGTGCGTTCTCGGACTTCCTGACAGCTTCCGGGATGAACGTTCAGGCATGTTGAGGCTGCCAGGTACACAGCGCTTAGGATTCAAGTTTTAGGATGTTGAAGGCTTGTGGTATATGGTGGAAGCCTATGGTTTAAGGCGTCAGGTTCACGGTTTGGGGTTTAGGATCCGAAGTTCCGTGTGCATGCCATAATTCTTACACCGAGCGTAGGAATCGGATGCGGTCGTCGAGAGTCCTTACTGGGAAGAAAGTATGACGACGGCAACTAGGAAAGGCGAGGGGAACCAGGCTGTCGAAATCGCACTTCGAGGGCTGATGGACTCCGCACAGTTTTCTTTTGACTGGATGGGGGTTAAACTGCTCTTCCAACTGTCGGACAGTCTCGCATCAATTTCAGCTTTCTGGCCAGTTTCGGCTGCAGACACGTTCTTGTGCGCAGGAACTGCCGCAGCGCGGTTGCACGAGCTGTGCACGGACTCGTCCCGACTGGAGTCCTGCTTGAAGCCTTCCAAGCTAGAACATACAGCCATATTCAACGCACGATGCACCCATGCTTGCTACCCCAAAAAGCTTCCCATAAAAGCCCGAGATGCATCCGCCCTGTCCCTCAAACCCTAAACCCCTGCCTGCAGGGATCCAGAATCTGGGTGGTGGGCCGCTCCAGTGGAGGGTTGAGGTCAACATGTTGACGCTGGGCAAGGTAAATGTAGGGGCCCTCAGCATGCGCAGTAGAATCGGCTATTGGGGCTACACATGTATATATGTACGTATACATACATACATACATACATACATACATACATACATACATACATACATACATAGATACATACATACATACATACATACATACATAAGATCGGAAGAGTACA